CTTGTGGTGTTGATGAAAGTACATTACACGTTATTGATACAACTATTGGCACAAATGAATGTACATTTTCTGTTAATGAACGGCAAAAGGTGTAGTTATTAAACGATTAGTACAGTAAACTCCGTATTGCATTCGTACCTCTATCTAATATATGAGGAACTTAAATTTATGGAAGATATTGGTAAATTTTTCTTTAATTTTAATTTTTTTTATTTAGGCATGGCTAAAAATTGCCATTTCAAAAAATTTTTAAATTTCAAAAAATTGCCTAATTTTTAAAATTTTTATTTTTATTTCAAAATTTTGTTGTGTTAGGGTATTTATGTTTTTCAATCTCATTCAATGTGAATTTACAGTTAACATTAATACTATTTATAGCATGATAATAAAATAGGCGAAGGGTAATTTCCGCATGTGTTATAATGATCGGTAACGGTGACTATTGGAGCCGAGAAAAAACTAAAATCAATTAGAATAAAAGAACTCTAAGGTCACGTGAGGCAGACTATATAGTGCAGTTTTCGCATGACTGTGAAAAGTTCACGGCACGAATACGGTCGTGACAAAGCAAAAGATACGCCAGGCAAATCAAATTGCACGGGAATTTACTCTCCATCCAATCAAATACCCGGAACACGGCATACACACGGCGCGGACACGGTCACGCCAAGGTCACGGCACTTTTTGACCAATCATATTGCGCGCGAAAAAAATTAGCCAATTAAAATTCAAGTATCACGGTCACGGCACGTCACCCTTACGGCACTGAGCTTTTCACAGTCATACGAAAACTGCACTAGTCTTCAAGTTACTCATTTACACAGTAACTTGTTATTCATCGTTAGAACATTAGTAGTGGCTAGATTTGTGTCGATACTGCACGATTTCGCCAATACTGCTTCGAAAGAGCAGATTTCGTATGTACGTAAAACGCTTACGGTACTACCGCTATAGTCACGGCAAGGAATTGGACGAGATTGGTTGAACCAATCACAGTGCGCATGGTTACTGCTTATCCAATCAGAATGCTAGAACATTTTACCGTCACGGTCATGGTACGGAATGGACAATATTCCTTCAACCAATGACAGTTCGCAGTGTTTATCCAATCAGAATTCTAAGCACGGCAATCTAAAGTTTAATGCACATCACGTTTTTTTCGAAGTGGGTTTATATTACCATGCGAAATCTGCCTTCAGCTTTTTTTGTTTGAGACACCTACCAAGTGGGACTAAAGTCATATTTTTCGTTCGCTTTGGTCGGTCTCACCTGTAATATTTTTCCGGCATATAGCCGTAAAAGCTTTTATTCCAAAACATAGAGATTTAGCATTACAGTAGATTGAAGTTGAGTCAATATATCTCACATCTTCTTTAATGAAGTTGGGGTCGCGTCCCTGAAAATTCTCAGTAAAAATACTAAGGAAGTATTCAAATTTTATTGGGGTTGAGGGGACGGGGGGA